CAATCCCGGTGATTTCGAAAGGTTTTAACATCAAAAAATTTAATGAGGGACTCTCCAGATTTTACAAAATTAATGGGAGAACACAAAGATGAGAGAGTTAAGAAAATGAAGACAGGAAGGACAGTTTTTGGGCTTTGGTCAGCGACGGGGGATTTGAGAATTTAGGAAGGAGGACAGCACTCGTCTGACTCAATCCTGTAATTTTAAATACATATAGTTTATTTTGATAGTCCCTCGTGAAGTTTCTCTCGGTAGATAAAACGCTGGGAAAAAGCGCAAGAATGGAGAAAATTGTAAAACCTATACATGATACAGTTACAAAGATTTTATTAAAAACGTCAAAGAGGACCCTGCATTGACCAAGCTAAACTATCGATTCAATTCCATACTCTTGAAAATGATTCAAGTCGATCATTTACAGCTAAAATAAAAAAGGACGAGTAAGAAGAAAATAGAAATTGAACGACAGACTGAGAGCGAGACTCCAATTTTGAATAACCTAAACCAAAGACAAACTAAGTCTATCAAATGATTAATATGTATAATATTAAAAATACCTAGGTTTATAATTTGTTAGACCTAACTCAAGACTTACTCAACATAATATTAACCAGTAACGACCAGCGTCCCTGTATACGTCTTATCAACTTTTTAATTTTTTACACATAAAATTCTCTTTACAGAAAACAATTTACCAACAAAACTTAGGTAAACTTTGTTCCATTAAATAACACACAAAGAAATTATAACCAGTCATGTAGAGTGCTGCGGGAGTCCTCCTCATTTAGAGTATCAATTTAGGAAGTGATTCTGTGAGAACACTCAGTTTCCACCGACTATTTGCCACTCAAAATTTGCAAGACTACCGCAACATGCTCAGGAAAGTAACAAAACTATGCAAGAGAAAACAAAAACTAAATCTTTGACAATGAAAACTAATAACACTTAAACTACCGAAAGAGTTTTATTATGCATCGAAAACTTATGCATATTAGAAAAATACTTAAAACAAAATATTCCACGAACGCATCATCCAAAATGGTTGAGATGCCTTAGAGTGTCCGATCAAAATATGTTTGGTAACTGGATGCAACGAAAAATGTTGCTGAAGCCTCTCCCGCTAAACTCACAAATTGAGCGTCATTTGTAGTTTCAAGAAATGATTCAAGCCGTTACAGAATTTGGAACGCACGCCTGTGCAACCTTACTGCCTTCACTTTGAATAATGAAGCTTCACTTATCCATCTTGCCCCAAAACAATTGGAGAGACAGAAAAAGTGATAAGTTTTAAATGAAAATGATGCACTTTTTGAATCAGAAGATTGGCTTTTAAAGGTTGGAATTACTTTGATGGAAGAGGGTAAATTTTAACAAATGAAGTCTCGAACCACAAGCATATTCCCAGCTTTGGAAAAAAATTGAAAGGGCTGACATCAATTATTTGCGGTTTTTACGGAAAATGAAGGGACATTTTCTACCTCAAAGGACTAGATTTGGTCAAATCAAACAATCAATATTGTTATTACACTTGATGTACTTTAAGTCAAAATACCGTTTTCCCCCAATTTTCACTTATTTCGACTCGTCAATCAAGTCCTTAAAATGTAGCAGAACAAAACACCAATGATCAACATTGGAACATGCTGAAATAGTGTGTTCTATAAGAAAAGCCTTTTACATTAAAATTATTAGGCAACATTTTTCTCCAAAAATTTGCCGATTTAAGTCACAAAAATCCACATAACAAGAACCTGAACAAAACAAAGTCCCTCTTGTGCTTCAGTAATTCTGGATTTCTGGAAACCATAAATAATTTTAATTCTGTGATTTTCTGAGTCTTCGGGCTTTCCAATTTTTATTCATGACATTAAATAAATTAATTACTGAGGTTTACGCCTCATTACAGGCAATTTATTTTACGAGACTTGATCAATCAAATATGAATCCTCGGGGACTGGAGAATCTTAAAGCATACATGAAACCTTGAAAATTCTTTCTGGAGAAAAGCCCAACTCTTAATTTCCTCGAATCTACTGCAGGTTTGATATTTGCTCAATTTTTGAGGAGCAAAAAATTTTGGAGACCCCTCTGCAATGACTCACACAGATCAACTTTCCGACTGAGGAGAAAGTATACTCCCGTGATGCATCACCTCTGTGAGAAAATAGGAATAGGAGATGACAAAAGTAATGCAAACATGATACAATTTGGCGAATAATACAATGCTTTTATCATGAAAGTTGTAAAGTTTTTTACCCCCTTTCTTCATGAGATTCTTTAAGAGCTCGCCATGACATTCATTACATTTATCTGATCAATTATCACATTGACATGACGTATTTATGCGGGTAAAAAGTGTTTTTTTCAAGTAAAACAATCAAAGTAAAAACACTTACAGTAGAAATAACATAGCAAAAAATAACAAAGGACCAGCATAAAAGTCGGTGGCTGGATGAAACAAAGAGTACCTCTAAACAACATATTTTACAAAACAATTCAAAATATTTCATTCAAAAATGAGAGGAGGTCAGTCCAACAAGCACCACTTTTGAGAAGGAGAAGGGGGAAAAACTGAATCATAGATTTCATGACCGATTAACAGGTATGAAATAATTATATTAGGTTCCATGGCAAATCAGGGACACCAGGAAGAAGTGCATTTTTCATCATAAAAATGAGGAGGCGCTAAGAAAATTAAGGTTATAAAAGAAAAATCATGCTCCTCTATTCACGATGAAGTAAATAATGAAATGAACAGGAAGAATAATATTATGATGATCCATTTTCAGGATAAATTGTTTAATTTTTATACTTTTGACCAAGTTATAGTTCGGAATCAAGAAAACAGTAGAAGAGGGCCAGAGGCAAAAAAATTAGATGAAAATGGCAGTAAAGCACAATTTTTTTTTAGTAAAACATTATGCCAAAAATGGTGCACTATTGAAATGATCTATATCCTTTAAAACAATCATACTGTGTCTAGTTGCAAGAAAGAATTCTCACAATTATCTGTATATGTTGCAGTGAGATTCCGAAAACAATCGAAAGCAAATTTACTGTCCAGTTAATGCGTGAATTTTAAGTGTGCAGTCGTCAATCCAAATGAATGAATTTATGGTGTGTATCAAAATTCTCAACTCGACAATCAGTTCAATTGAGGATAAACGCAGCCAATACCTAACTAGATTATGTCGTCAAAATTACTGACAAAGGGAAATTTTTGATGGAGAGTTAAGCGGGCAATTTTCAAAACACTTTCTAAGGTCAAAATGTAAATTCTTTTCGAGCAATGTCAAAAACGTTTAATTTTCCAGACAAAAAGTCTATAGCAACTGATAAATCCATGAACATTTCAAGAATTAAAACGGAAACCTTCGATAAACAGATGCATTCTCTCATTTCCGGAATTGTAAGAAAACATTTAAAACTCACAAAGTGATTTTTCCAGAAGTCCCGGATTTTCTCTAATAATTATATACTTCTAGTTTACATGGAAATTGTATCAACTTTTAGTTATACAATTTTAGCAAAGGTTTAAGTTAAAGGCAGCAAATTTTCACAGACTACCTACCAAGGATGGTATTTCGTTTGAAGCTCTACAATTCCATTGGACTTACAAACTTATGGAGTAATGAAAAAATAAGGAAAATGAGGAGAATGATAGAAGAAAAAAGAAAAGAAAAGAAAAACAACTACAGAACAAAGCTGGAAGCTCGATTTGAGCGAAAACTCGTGAATATGTTATTAACTGCAGCACTACGCAATGACTGTCTCGATGATATTCTCCCGAAAAATGTACAACTGTCACTTAAAAAAATTGTTGAGTAATTGCGATCGTTTCGACACTTGTAGCTAGTTTACAGTGTTGGCACAAAAAAGTGGGCCGATTTGGCTAGTAGAAATTAGGTACATGCACAGAAGTAAGTCTTTTACTTTTTTGTTCACCGTCAGACAATCTATGACACAAGTGGAAAACTAACTTTTAATAATACTAATAAAAAAAGTATGCAGGATGATTTCTCCAGTTAAACAAAGGGTCAAACGATCAGGACTCGGGCCATTCAAAAATATAATGTCTTCCATCACTGACACCGCCAACAAGGGTTCTCTACAACCTATACGATCTACTCTATTAGATTGAGTTTTTCATGGTAGAGAAGTCAATTGAGAATACAAAATATGACTATCAAATCAAATTTAAACATTCAAAGAATCATTCACGCGTAGGAAATTGAATTTTCTGTATACACCCGAGACTTCGTTGTTGTTTCTCTTTGATAAAACAACTGGGATTCAATAAGTAGGTGATAATAATTAACTCTTCACGCCTTATTTCGTTTGTTTGAAGAGAATTCACGGATCATTTTTGGTAATTTCATTAATTTTTTCAACTTGTTCTGTATTTCATGTTTTTTCGTGTGAGACTCCTGACGTGAAATTTCTTCGACTTAGGATCTCGGTGAGAGCTACATACAAGATATTATTGAACAAACAAAGACCCTCCTCTTTTTATAAAAGTTTCAAGTATCACTGTGATTAAAATCCTTTTTCGAAAAAATCAAATGTTTTACAAATCATCATCGCGATTGTTTCAGAAAAGAGAGAGGAGAAACTGTTTTGTGAGAAATAAAAGAAACAAAAGAGAAGAAAAAAACATTACTCACGAGCCACCATCTCAGGGAATTTGGATGGATGAGATTTCGTCAAACACACTTAAGACCGTATGGAAATGAGAATACTAACATTTCCCTCTTCTGATTGTCTATTTGATAGTTTCAGTGGCGTGGCGTGAATTGCGATACATCGATTGTCATGCCATTAAACCTATGTAAAAGGATCGATAAACAGGGTGTTCGCAGCGAACACCTTAATAATCGATTCTTTACTATAGGTTTAAATGGCATAACAATCGATATATCGCAATTCACGCCACGCCACTGGATAGTTAGTTTTCCACCTTTCCTTCATGTACAGAGTCTGGTAAAGTAGATAGATTCGAGTGTTGCATCCAGAAGCTATGCAGAGATCCTTACCTTTCTCAATGATAATAATTAGTAATAAAAATACTGGGAACACGACAAACACTTCCCTCGGCTTTTCACGTTTTCAGAACTTCAGTATTTCAATTTTAATTGTAAACATTCCCGATGAGATTTTAGAATTTACATTCTTTTCTACATCCTTTATCGTGTTACAAGCTGTTCTCGATTTGCAGGACGAAAACAAGGAAAACTAAAGCACTTGTTATCATAACGACGGCTAATGATCGCAAAAAACGATTCAAAAGCTGTAAAAACCGCGGATAGCATACTTAGTTAAAATAGTCCCATGAGATTTTTCAACTTCCACTATAACACTCAATTTTTCTTTCAACTTTTTTGGGATGGTTCTTATAAGACCCGAAAAGATCATTTTTCTCCTAGTCTCCCGAAAACGCCTACGTGAGCTAGCATTCCCTGTTTGAACACTAAAATCTAACAATCGAGATGAAATAATTCCGGAATTCCAAAAAAAGAGCACCTGCACACTAAGTATCACACGCCAAGCGTATCAACTTTTGATGGTGATGAATACACGCTAATACTTTCTACAGACAATATTGCACAAATCCTCATGCCTTCAACTGACAATTTTGATCGCAAAGTGAAAAGACGAACATTCCGGATCTCTGTGAGGATAGTCTCCGGATCTCTGTAAGGATAGTCTCCGGATGACAACATCCGATCTGAGAGCGCACGCGACTCAACGAGCCAAGGACCACGACGGTGATTACTCTTCGAAAGCCTCCCTCAGGATCGGAGGGAATTGGGGATGCGGTTGGAATCAGACCAGCTTCCACCAATTCTGGACTTTGCCTTTGATCGATCTACATAGTCCGGAAATTCTCCGTCACATCTGTGCAGTTGAGTCCTCATCACCCTCCTCGAGGGTCACTTGGAAGCGGATGCTGGAGTCTTGGGGCACTGGAGGCGGGTTCGGGTTGGGGGGCTCGCTTTCCTCCCCCTCCTCCACGTCACTGTCCAGTCTATTCTCTCCTTCATTCACCGGTGGGCTAGGAGGAATCATACCTGTGGAAAAGGAAGCCACAGATTAGTATTGTAACACAGATTAGGAAAATTACACCGAAGAAAAAAATGAAGTTGATTTAACATTCTGCTTGTAGAAAAGTGTGCAAGAACTCACAGAATGATAAATTACCTGCTACGGCAGCTAGCTTTACATCTTGACAGGGCTAAAGTATCTGCTGTAGCAGTTACTTCAGCATTTTGTAACTTCTCGCTCACTTTTTTTACATCCAGAATGTTGAGTCAACTTCACTTTTTTTTCAGTGTAGCTGAAGACTACAGGAGAGATGAATAATTCTGTCGTGATAGCGAAGAGAGCAGTGAATGTCAAATTTTCTAAATCGAGTTTCCTCCAGCATTCGTCCAATCTCTTTTAAATGAAATCACTGAAAACCTAAAACAGCAAAATGCCTCTTAATTTTATGAAAGCGAGACATATGAGAAAGCCGTAAAGGCGCAAAAAATGACGTAGTTTTAGGCAAGACAGCAATAAGTGACATTGCTCCTGCTTAAATTCGCGCTTAAATGCGTACCTTGTGTAATGGTCTCTTTAGTCTAAAAAAACGAATGTAGAGCAATTTTCTTAACTTTTCGCGAAAAAAATATTTCATCGGGAGAAACGAGGCAACGTCGGAATGCTTATACGGCGTCAAAACATAACATGGGCCTTTAAAGTCCCATTACTCGATGCCGCGAATATTCTAACGAGAGTTCGAATAATCGCGCCCAACACAGTGCGGCCGATGTTAACCGCATATTAGCGCCCGCAAGACTGTCGGAATACTTCGCGCATTGCGCCAAACAGTGCGGCCGGCGCGACAGCATGTTAGCGCCTACAAGACTGCATGAATACTTCTCGCATTGCGCCAAACGCAGTGCAGCCGGTAAGTTCATGTGAGACGCATATCACGCATTGCGCGCACAGCACGGCGCGCGCATGTATCGTTGTAATTCCTTGGTGTCAACCCACAGAGCGGAGGACAATAATCGTTAAAATTATTTTTTTAACGGTAGTGTACTTTTCTCAAAATTGATAGTTGAGATTTTGTCGAGGCGAGTTCTTTCACTCGACATTGCTCATCTTCATTAAGGAACTTAAAAACGCGCGTGCATAGAAAACAGCTGAACGCTTTTCTAATACGAAAGTAATAGACTTTTCCGCTTGTTTTTAGTTAAGACCACAAGATGAATTAATAATTGGACCGCGTTTAGTGAAAAAAAAAACCAAGCCATATCAGCTATTATTGCCAAAAAACTGGATAGTTTAATTCTTTACGAGGGAGCGTTTGTACGGATTTCTTTGAAATTTTTAAGGAATTTGTTCTGTGCTACTCAGCAAATTCACTAAAATTTGGACACAAATTCGAGCAAACGTTTCCACGCATGAAATTTAATTGCCCTATAAAATTTGGCAACTGCTGATGTTGCTTGGTTCTTTTCTGCTAAATAAAACGCGGTCCAATTGCACTTCTAAAAGCCGCGTTGCCTCATCAGAATTCCAAGTTAAACACGTTAAACATATCAAAACTGCAGATATTCTCCAATATGTGAGAAAATAACGTTCATGGTTTACATATAAAACAGATAATTTAAACACCCCGCTGGTGAAATAACCATGATGGGCCAAACTTTGCCCAGTTATATTTAAATTAGGGGCCTGTGGCCGCTACGCGAGCGCCAACCACCAAAAAGAAACAACACGTAAAAACAATAGAATAACCATGCTCAAGTTATTTAAGATATAAATGGATTCAAAAGCCGACGGGTGCACTCGCAAAAAAGCGCGATTGTTTCTCATTGCAACGTTATGCACAACTTTTATGTTCCATTTTTAATTAATACAAGTATTTTAAAAAAGCTGCACACAGTTTTTTAAAAAGTTCCCGCGACTCTTCCTAGATGGTCGCAAAAAGGAATCGAAAATTTTGACGTGATAATGGTCACACTGGAAAAAAAACTCATTGGATCTAGGGTCCGGACTCTTAAAAACATTGCCAAGAAAAAATACTCTTGATTCCATCGGATTGTAGCTTAAATCAAAAACCAAGCCTCTTAATTTGAGCGGATTTCCTTTTGATTTAAGCAAAAATTTGATTGAATCAAGAGTGTATTTTCTTGTCAATGTTTTAAAGAGTCTGGACTCTAGATACAATGTGTTTTTTTTCAGTGCTTGCCGGACGCCCACGCTTTATCATGCGAGGATCCTCCATGCTTGAAAACATTAAAATTGCGAGACAACGACGCACAGTAGAAGGAGCCAATGAGTGCAGTCGGACATGAAATTTGCGACTAAAATTTTGATGTTTGATTCGTCTGAGGGACCAGTAGATGAGGTGCCATGCGGGGAATTTAATAATTGGAAAGATAGCAGAAAGCAGGAAAATCACCACGATCCTTCGAGGATTGCACACTCGCGTTGTATACTAATTGGATATTGTGTCCATCGCACTGCGGGTGGTGGGTTGACACCAAGGAATTACAACGATACGTGCGCGCGCAGTACTGTGCGCGCATGTATCGTTATGCGTCTCACTTTAACTGACCGGCTGCACTGCGTTTGACGCAATGCGAGAAGTATTCACGCAGTCTTGTAGGCGCTAACATATGCTCTCGCGCGGGCCGCACTGTTAGGCGCAATGCGCGAAGTATTCCGACTGTCTTGCAGGCGCTAATATGCGCTTAACATCGGCCGCACTGTGTTGGGCGCGATTATTCGAACTCTCGTTAGAATAATCGCGGCATCGAATAATGGAACTTTAAAGGCCCATGTTATGTTTTGACGCCGTATAAGCATTCCGACGTTGCCTCGTTTCTCCCGATAAAATATTTTTTTCCGCGAAAAGTTAAGAAAAGTGCTCTACATTCGCTTTTTTAGACTAAAGAGACCATTAAACAAAGTACATATTACTCTGATACATGATTCTTCACCAGAATTTCACGTAGAACACGATTTGCACGACGAAAATTAGTGAAATCAACTCCTAGCTAAGATATTAACGCTTTAATTGTACAAGGTTGCGGAAAATTTGAATTTCCCGGTCACAAGGAAAACAAGTTTTGAATTAAAAAAAAACTGGGCTAAGTTACTTGTTTTTCATACTTACTTTGGTACCAGTCTCTATTTTCTTCTAACATATCTAATATTTCTTGTGCATCAGGGTGGACAAGATCTGCCCACGTCTCCCACAGAGGATGTACGATATAATCTATAAAACCAACCTGTCATCGAACAAATAAAGGAAAGAAATCGTTAATAGGTAAATACGATTGAAAAAAAAAAAAAACACGCAAAGAGAAAATCATTACCTAACCGTCATTGGGAAAAAAATAAATGAAAAACTTATAATAGCATTAATAGCATTAAATAGCAGTTAAATAGCGTTCTACCGCTATTAACATTTTTGGGAGTCTAAATGATATTTTCAAATGCCTGGCTGCGAAAATTTCCTCTTTAGAGCTGCCAATATCATCACCAGTGGTGCGGCGTGAACGATCGATTATCGATATTCCCCCATTTGAAGCTATGGCAAAGAATCAATTGTGAAGGTGTTCGTTGCGAACACCCTGTTTATTGATCCTTTTCCTTCGGTTTTAATGGCAGATCAATCGATAAATCGCAAAACACGCCCCGCTACTGGTCATCCGCAAGAATGAGCATCGATCACTGTGACTAACTGTGGACACGAATGGTTTTTTGGGTTTTCGATTGAAAAAGAATTCCTTAAATAGACCATGTATTAAAAAGGCTGACTTACTTGAGACTTTTCAATAGTTGCACTATGACGATCACACATTGGACTAATGTCGAGATTTTGCTCCCTTTCTTTGTCACCTTGTTGGAAGAACTCTTCCATGAGAAGATCAACCCACCTCCTGTAGAGTGGCAGCGGTTTCGTTGGGTTACTTAGGTCAGCACAATGCACCAGATTCTCGAGCACCTAAAATCACGAGATACCAATATTTATATAATATCATATAATATAATTATGTAATATAATATGTATATATAATATAATTTACGCTGTTTCAATATTTCACATAATACCCATATGTGACGCTTCCATAGAGAAAGCTCCTCAACTGTCAAGATCAAATTTTTCATGAGAGCAAAATAAAATCATGTCTTTTCGGTAAACCCTCTCAATTGTTTTAAAATATTCATCTTATAATTGTTTACATTTATAATGATTATAATTTATAAGTATTCAATTTATTGAATGTATGATTGTTCTGGAAACAGTAATTTTTAATAAGTTCCAGAAGTTGAGAAAATTAGTACAGATTGGTTTGAAATCGTGCCCAAACAGTTGTGTGTATTCCCTCAATGTATTTCTGTGAGGAGAATGTCATCATTATACGAGTGCGCACTTCACGATTTTAAAATTTATGAACTTACTTGGATTCTATCGGTGTAGTTGTCCAGCAACAGCACACCAGATCCAGCCACTTTCTTCGTTTCAACCATAGTTTTCAGATCTGCTAACAAGCTCATGTGCTTTGACATGTCCGTTGAAAGCACCTAGACAAGGATACATTGTTTTACTTTCCGTTAGACCAAATCTTTTTTCATTAATATCATGCACTTGCAAAAATAGAGTCTCAATTGACGGATCTGCACAGTGTTGAAACTAGGAATATTTTCATACTCGCTGAAAGGAAATTTCCAATTCGAAAAGACGCCGGTGATATTTATAATTGTTTACTTTTTCAGCATCATTAAAGCTGACATGCTCTCAAAAAGAGCAACTGCGCAGCGATCTTTCAATAAACAAACTAAAAAAGAACATCTGTTCCTTGGTAGACGATATTTCTAAATGTGACACATTAACACTTCAAATGCTAAACTTTCTTAATTTTGATCATCCCTGTTTCAAATAGCTGTCTTGAATTGCTTTCCTGTGGCGGATGCGATTCCTTTTCTATACATCTCGGCATATTTCATTCCCATTTTGGTGAAGTATCCCAGGCAAATTTGCGACTTGAACGCAAGGTTGCCGAATAGCTCAAAATTACTTTATTTTTGCATTAAAATTGTTGAACAAACTTTCCCAGAAACTTTGCGAATAAAAAAAAAAATATTGACGTTAATAAGGAAGCGGGGGGCAGAGGAAATGGTCACATTAAGTGATTCTGTGCCTTAGCTGTACTGTAAAATTTTAGACAAGTTTAGCAACACAATGCCTATCATCAAATCCCCCTTGCTTGCAGAAAATCTTCCATATCTCAACATTTACAATAAAATAGTGCATCGTGCACCCAAGGCGACTGAAATATGACGAAAGATGAATGACTCACCATGTCAATGACCATCTTCCTAAGAGTTTGTTTTTGTTTCTTGCTAAGATTTAGGAAAATATCGCAGCCTTCATTTTGTAATAACTTAAACGCTACAGCCAAGTGATGATTTTCCAAAACTGACTCATCATTATACATAAGCGCCAGCTCTGAACCTGTGGAGCAAATATAAAATACGTACTCAATAACACATTGACTTGTCCAGGATGATTCATTCAATTAATTACCGATTTTTCCTAACATTTATAATTTTATACGGAAATCGTTGAATGAATTATTTATAAATGATTAAAGTTTGAAACATTTTTCGAACGGATGCGTCGTTTGAATTTCTGGTGAGGAACATTTTTTCAACGTTGCTTGTAATTTCTGATATTATTTTTGAATCGAGACAAATTGCAAACTGCAATTTTTGATCCATACATGGAGGTGGTACTTGTCGACGTTTTGAGGTCATAAATTCCTCACTCTTATCAGTATTATTATTTAAGGTGTTTTTTCTCCTTTGATTAGGTTTTTTGCACCTTACATTTTAGCTTAGCGCATTTATCCTTTGTTTGTAAATATAGTATACTATAACTTTTCTCAATCTAACTACTTTAGCTCTTAAGTTAAGTTTACCATATTAGGTTATTAGATCATATTAATAATCTAAATTTATGTTAATTTACTAGTTTAAGGCAGTGACTATATAACCGAGAGTTCAAAGTCCTGTAATTTATTGTATTTTGATGCAAATAAATTGAATTTAAAAAAAAAAAAAAAAAAAATGGAGGTGGTACGGCAATAGGCCTGTTGCATAATTTTTTTTATTGCTTGTATCGGAGGAACTAAGGATCCTGATGTCACAAGAGTTTTCCCGCGGTTTTTTGATCACCGAAAACCACCAAAAAATCAACTTAAAAACGCCACGAAATTCGGATTTTCAAAAAGGTCACTTTTACGGAAACGGACCAGGTATTTTCGTGATGTCACAGTACAAGACAAATCCGGTCCCTTCATCGTCTACGATGTATTACTTCATAGGGCGTCATCATTCTTTTCGAGAGATTTGCCATTAGAATCAGTTTTCAATTTGCAATTCTCCGCACCTTGCAACAGGCCCGTTTCAGTGCAAATTACTGAGATTCTTCTTGCTCAAATAACAAGAAAGTGCTAGTGTAAAATTCATTTTCTGAAGAAATTGGTTGGATGTACGTTTAATTCGTTAAATTAAAGTAAAGTGTATTCTAGTAGAAATAGAGACTTAATTTTTCACTTACTGGAATTAATAAGGAACTGATTGGTTAAACCAGGATGATCCACGTCATGGATTGTCGCTGCAAACAGGGCTGCACAAATTTCTAACGGAGTGAAAACCGACTGGAAAAAAGAGGAGAGGTAAAAATAATTATAAAATTAGAGACCAAAGAAAAGCCGAGAGAACGGACGAGATACCAGCGCGGCGTTGCATTTGGGTATTAAGTTACAAGTTGGAGGCTACTATTTCAAAAAAAAGCAAGCCTTACTGGTGCGCTTAAAAATTAGGAGGCTAAACTGACGCTCTCCACGCTATAAAGCCTAGGGAAGGGAAAATTGTGTGTTTTTTTGTTTTTTTTTTCATTTGGTTTAATTATTTTTTCGTGATTTCGTTAAAAGGGCCGAACCAAAAATATATTTTCCAAATTTCTCCGTTCAAAACATGTTTGGCCGTCTAGAGTCCCTTTATACCCAGAGTTAAGACAACTCACTTTTGGTTGGGCTGAAAGTGGCCTAAAAAAATCCAATTCAGATTGGTTCTCGCTCATGGAGGCCGAAACGAGTGCACCAAGATGGCGGTAACAAGAATAATGAAAATATTACCTAATTGTGGTTTATCAAGAGGTAATTGTTATTTCCATCGGTCCAAAATGAAAATAGATTGAGAAATTATTCACAAACCAATTTCATTTTCTTTTCAATCGATCAATTTTGTTGATGTTGTTTTTGGATGACAGACATAGCAGGATTCCTGATCCTTATCCCTCAATATCGTTCGTTTGGGTGCACTCGTTTCGGCCTCCATGGCCAGCCAAGGCCGGCTGCCAGTCAGCTGATAATCGAGTTGTCTTAACTCTGGGTATAAAGGGACTCTATGGCCGTCCATGGATTGCTGGGCATTGCTGGCATCTTATGCGCCATACATTTTCTGTCGGTGGAGAGGGAAATAATGGCATTAACCAAAGCCGACAAAGTTTTGAATCGTTGAAAATTAAATTTAAAAAAATGAGGATGAAAATATGGGACGAACGATCCTTACCTCGAGAGCTGGCGAGTTGAGGAGAACATTAGTAGACTGAGTAACGTCTGCCGCGTGCGTACTGTTGTGGAACGGATTATCCTTCACGTAATGGTCCTCCAAAGTCATCATGAAATTGATGAAGGTTTTGGCAGGAATCATGAACGTTTTCAGAAGATCTCGTCCCTACGCAAAATCAAACAGATCCGTTTTGATGCATAACATTCTTTCATGAGTCCAGACTTTACGTATAGTGTTTCTCTTCAAATTTATCCTTTCACAGTCATCTTATTCCTTCCTTTCACCTGTGCCTTTAATCCTATCTCCATCCCCCCCCCCCAGCATCTTTTTCTCCGACCCACATTCTTATTAGATCCAATTCACCCTTTCATGTATGTGTCGTTGCTCATGGTTGTTGGAGCTATCATGCGCATGATTGATGGCCCTTCAAATATCCCACATTTGTTAAAAAGTGGGCAGAGCGTCTCTCGTGATGCATCAGCTACAAGAGTATTGGAGGAGGGGTAGAAATATGTGACTATCTACGCGGTGTAAGACCTTAATACCAGAGGCGAGTTTTTCTGAAGAGCGATCCTGTTCAATTGGATCAAAAAAATTTAACCCAAGTTTTCGACAGAAAATCTTTCGGAATATCTCAAGTATTGACAAGTCTATACTGAGAGATAGCGTGTAAAGTTGCATTTTAATCCCAAAATTTGAGACTAGAGTATGGTAAATTACGACTTTGACAATTTCCCCTCAAAACTTATTTTTTGAACTGCAACTCAGAAACCGTCAAAAATATAATTTCGTTTGAAATTGTTGACGCCAAAATGGGTGCACAACTTTGCTTACAGCCGTAATGACAATATCTCACTTTCCGGTATTTTGTGAGTAAAAGACATCAGGAGAGACTTTCATGATCATTGGCTTTCTTTTTGGGAATTTTCAGACTTTTGCACTCATTACCAAAATATCAATAACATTTTTGGATTTATTAATTGAACTTAAGAAACCAGAAAAACATAGGTAACTGCACAGGTAACAAGTTAAGAGATATTCAGATATACTTTTAAAGTTTTAACTGAAGGTTAACTCCTGACCAAAGATGATTCAACCGGTTCTTACACGCACCGTAAGTAGGTAAGTGAAAATAAAAAACTGAATCTCTTGCATTTAGTTTTGAACTTTCAAGAGTTCATTTAGGTTTCATACACTCTAGATTGAGTTATTCTGTTTTAACTATAAAGTTAGAATTGTTTAATGTTTATGCGTCATAATATTGAAAAAACTGTCAACTGTGGAATCAGATTTTAGCACTCTCGTACAAACGCTGAAGATAACTTTAAAAGCTTCTTGCTACTTGCAGATTGTGCCCCCTCTTGACTCTGCCGATGACACAGTCTGTTAAACTTCAAAGTGATACTGACTTACCTGAAAGACAGAGTATGCTACGCAGGTCAAAGGCCTGTTGTTTGAGAGCTCTGCGATCCTGAAGATGTCGATACCCCACTTTTCTATTTCAGCCAGCGTCTGTGGAAACACACGCAACCAATCAATATGGGCCGAGACAAAAGGACGACACGAGAGAAAAATTCGCGAAAACCCTTTCAAGGCGGTGCTTTGTCATATTTTCATCTAAATTTCCAACCTAGGTTGCAGAGTGGCACCCGAAAATCGAAAATATATATTTGAACTAATTTTGCCAACGTTTAGCATATCGAAGGTGTAGGTCCGCAACTTTCTCGGTATGCGACGTTGCAGACTTCCTGTCATATTTTATTTTTGAAATGGAGAACTATTTAACTGCAATTCTTTAAAACTGCTGTGTTTTCTCTTCTCTGTGAGAGGAAAATTCAGATAAAACTTGAAGGAGTAATGTCAATTTTCTCTCCTTTAAAAAAAATAAAACAGGAACGAAGCATTTCAAACACCGCGAACGACATACATAGTTGGGGACTTGCATCGTTACGGTTGAATTCAAACAAGTCTGCGAAAGGCCAAAAATTGATAAATGACACTTTGACAACAAAATGTTTGAATACATCTCAACAAATGAGAATTTTATAAAATAAATCCTCAATGTTCCCGGAAAGCATCATTTTCAAGTTAGTGTAACAGAAGATGAGAAGCGCTCTTTCGACAGCTCGTGGAACACTGATGCCGACTAAAAAGCAGTTGAACTTTTCCTGGAGGAGCGGACAAACTGGAAATTCACGCGCATGTTTGACAGAGCATTCGCGTTGAAAACTTAATTATTTTGATTTTGCTAACTACAAGCTGATTCGCAAAAATCCACCAACTTTGCGTTGGGAAGATATTCAGTGCTGCCTTTGATACTTCGTTGGCAAGTGTGCAAGGTGGAAAATGTGGTTAATTTGAGCTGATTTCGTCGTTTCGCTTGCGAAAGGCATAATTCCAATTTAAAATGGTTCATCTTGAAGAGAGGGTGCGTTTTTATGAGAGCAGAGTGACAATTTTAGAAAACGCAAGTTGATTGGATAGAGTCAGGCACCTACCCATACCCGTATAAATTAACCACCCATTTCAACCAATAGGATTGCTCCATACTCCTTACGTATGTATTCTTTGCCTTTTGCTTTGTTTATCAATTTTTCCACTTACTTTGCCGAGTTCTTCCTCGTGCTTGGTCTCGACGCCATATTTAGGGAGTTTCTCGCCGGTGAAGCTGTTGGTGTGCGTGAGGGGTCGCTTCACGCCGGAGATGCAGGACATGGGCACAGCGCGCTGGGGCTTGTCATCTTTCTTCGACGTTCGCTCCACCTCGGTCGTCACCGAATCCTCCACCCGAAACGATGGCAGATCCAACTCCTGCTGCTTGTCTGCAACATTACAGTATCATCACATTATAACCCTACAATATCAGAACAATTTCATGCATTTAACCCATAAAATACATAGAGTCGTAATAATAATTTTCTAGTTTCACGAAGCGTATTTGACATCATTTTGTCTTTGCGCCTCATACAAAATATATTTTTTCCTGGGCAAGCCAAAAATCCCAATTCGCAAATTAGTTTGAAAGTTGCAATACAGAGAGGATTTTTGTTTCGCTAAAATAAGCATTTTGGATGTCAAAGATCAGTGCGTCTCTTAGTCTGACATCAACTATCATCTTGACACAGACGTTGATCAACTATTTTTTTCTATTTAAAGATATGACAGGGCAGATGACGCAATTCAACTTGTTGAAGTGTTTACTATTTGTTTACACTAACGCAGGCTCCAAATTCAGAGAAGCTAAATGCAGTCAAGTGATAATAATGTTCAACAAATGAATGGTCAAGGTTTGGTCGTGAAGAACTGGTTACTCCTGATGTTAGTATCCAAGCATAGAAGGAATTTCATTAATCTTAATCATCGGTTTACATATTCCTCCTTGGGAAGAGCTTTAAATCGAGGGAAATCTCATTTTAATTTGAAACATTTGACACGGAAAACCAGCCTGCATTTCTGGAAATGTTTTGTCTTAGCAGCATACCATATTTTGATGTACTATGTGTGATTTTTACCGAAAGTAGGAATGATGGATGTTTATTTGTGTTATCATTCACCGGCCGCTTCACAAAAATGAGGCAAATCTTCTTAAAATGTTTTGCTAAAACTAACTCTCTTTATTAGTTTAATTGTCAATCTGGACTAGGACGCTGTGCTGTGGCATTTTTTGATTACCAATTTAGGGGAAGTAGTAAATTCACACAAAGGGGGTATGGTATGGTCTTCAGTTTTTGAAAGAGACCTCAAAACATCCTCCTTGCAGCAGAGAGTTTCTATTCAAGAGCCTCTGAATTACAGACTACACTAATTGAACGTATTGTGCTAAACAGAACTATAGGCAAATGAATGAATAAGAACAATTTGCATAGAATTTGTGTGATACATAGCTCATTGTAATTTCATTACTCTGCACATGGTTATTTTTTGCGTAAGTGCGTTCAATTTTCCTCGGAAGTAAGTAGATCAAACTTTCTGATTCTGATGATAAGACTGTTATCACACGAAAGAATTATTCATTATTAAGGAGTAAATATTGTGTAATATAAACTTTTTGACACACTCCTAGATTTATTATGAAAAATAGTCAAGTATTGCTTCCTAGATATGGCTGGATCACTAAAAAGAAAAAGACTTAATTTACGCAGAAATATTCTTGAATTTGCTGACAAGAATATATTCTTCCTGCATTAAGAACAAAATTGCTTGTATAGAGTGGAAACCTGCTTGATCTACGCAATTGCATCCTTAATTCATAGGAAATTTTCTTGCCTCTAAATATAATTCATTTTTTCTTTCCACTGATCGGTAAAGGCATTTTACACAAACTTTCAAACGTCGCCGCTATAAAACTGAACTTACAACATCACCGAATCATTTTGTAAAAGCGTAAGCCTAGTTCGACGCTAGGGCGTTGGTGCGTAACTATCTTTCCCCGCGAGTTTCAAACACTTTTCTCGTCTCGGAAGTTTCCGGAGCAGTGATAATTTTAAGGAGTGCGCCGAGCAACTTGAGAGTTGAAAGTTTGATCACCAACATCATTTCATTAAACACAGCTTTAATCACCGTAACCAAGAGATGTGCAGAGGGGAAGTAGATTGAGGAAGGGGTGCGAGAGGAGAGAAACATAGTAGAAAAAAGGGGCGTACCTACAGGAGGGATGGGAGGAAATAGGAGAAAAAGAAAGAAAGGGAAGAAAACTAGGGAAAAAGTGAGAAGAGGGGAAACACCGATAAAAAAAGAGAAAAGGAGAGATAAAGAGAAAATAGGAGGAGAAGGGTGAAGATGGGAGGGGGAAGGAGATTGAAGGAAAAAAAGAGGGGGAAAAGAGGGAGAAGGAGAAAAGGGAGTCTTGGGAGACGGAGGGAGAAGGAAAGAGATCGAGAGACTCATACCTAAACTTTTTCTCAGTATGACGCTCAATGAGCACCGTGAAACCTGCAACGATCCCATCAGTGACTAGGTTCGGGATGATTGAATTTGTCACTGACATCTGCAGCCTTTGATAATAAATCGTTTTCCTACCCAAATTTCCTTCGCGTTAGTCGGACACTTTATTCACCCGTGCAAATTGCACCGAGGAATGATTCAATTGAACAGTCGACTCCAAGCAATTGAGACAATGGACGTACTCGTGCCGTAAAACTGCGCTGACGTGGTGTTATTTTCGAAATATTTGAAGGTATAGAATTTTCTTAACCGGTGGAAACGGACAGAAAACCTAAATATATCTTAAGTGAATAGTTTGGCGAAGAAAGGACCCAATTTTGACCCCACAAATATCAAGTGACTTCTTACTAGATTGCTAACTATATGAAGAACATTAAAATTTCCAATTTTTAGTTTGGATGGTGTACGGAAAAAATATATTTAGTTCTATATGAATCGAATAACTCACGACATGCAACGCTGTGTCACGACTGATCGCTAGATCATAGTGTCGATAACAGTATTAATCCCCGAGTAACATCATCTGAGGATATTGTGCCACAAAATATAAAAAAAGATCGATTAAACTTATTTTTTGATCGAAAAAGTTCAAAATATTATCATGCTCCAACGGACACATTCTTCACCTTTAATTTTTTCAATGACGCGTAGGTAGAATAAAACAGGGCGGGGCAGCGGGGCTCTTGTAAAAATCTCGGTCAACGTAAGCAACGCACTCCGTGATGTTGATACTAACACATTGATACAACTATTCGTACTCTAAGGACGCGCGTGTTGCCTATGAGAAAATGGAAGGCGCTCCAGTCCCTTAGCGCGCTGCGTTTTTACCGATTGGCAAGGTGAAGTTCCCTGACAGATATTAAGGCAAAGAGAATAGAAAATCATAAATGCGTACCATTTTTGCATATTAGGATATTGATTCGAAAATTACCGGAATTCGATGGGATTTGAACGCTTCGGACAGTGCTACCGTGCTAAGAAAGAGCGCCGTATGAACATTCGAGGGTTGCCAAATTTCCTTCGATAAAATGTTTATTTTTGAGTAAAATTATGAATATTTTACTTTGAAATTTTCAGAAGTTTTAGATCAAATTACGAAAAAAATTATTTGCGAAATTGGTTGAAAAATAATTGCAAATGTTCTTGAAAATTAGTGATTTGCCAGGGGTTTGGCAACGCCTAAGGGCTCATACGGCGTTTTTCCTTACCATGGCAGAGTGGCGGTCGAGTAAATCCAGGGTCGTAACCTGCCGCTCATGTGCGTGCGATGGAAGGGATACGTTGTGGAATGGAAAATAATTTGGCGCGAACAGTCATTTTTTCTTTGTGTATATCGTTGACAAACGAAGAAAAAATAGGCTGATATCTCACAAAGAAACAACGAAATTCGACGATTTGCATTCCTCTCTCTCTGTTAGCATATAGTTCAGAATTTATTCTGCTGCGAGTTATTCTGCTCCATTAGGCTCTCAAGCCCAGCCCTCGGAGAGTGAAGCACTTTTGTCGGTATTAAAAATCGCGCCACATTAGTTTGCATGAATGGGCGTGGGAGGCATTGAAAATCAGAAATTCTCGGTAGAGCCTGGGAGAAGAAACTAGAGACTCAGCCGATGGAAAACTATGCACGGCAACGACCGCATTCATAATATTAATCGTCAGTAGCGCGGCGTGAATTGCGATATATCGATAGTTATGCCATTTAAACCTATGGTAAAGAATCGATTATTAAGGTGTTCGCTGAGAACACCCTGTTTCTCGATCCTTTTCCATGGGTTGAAATTGCATAACAATCGATATATCGCAAAGCACGCCACGCCTCTGTTAATCGTCCCTGAGTCAGCTCTTTTACGAAAGGAGGCCTCACATGTTTTACACTGTGTTTAAGGAAGGCTTAAAGATGCTTAAAATAGCATTATAAAAAGGAAAATTTAACAAATATTGAGAGAATTCCTTAGAATAACACCGAAAATAAATTTTTGGGATGAAAATAATTTGCCTCTGCAAAAAATAATAAGTGCGAAAAAAAATGCCTGTGATTTAGACAAATTTAAGATTTGCACGCACCCAACTAGAAATTTTCAAAACCTACAAAATTTTCTCTGAGCTTTTAATTTTTGCAGTGGCCTATTATGGACATCTCATGGTGAGGGCTATTTCCAAAGTTTTACTCTTGCATTTTACACAAACTTCGTTAAGAGTATCCCTTTCATGGTGCTAAGTTGAGGGATTCTTAAATTATAATGTAGACCATATGGACCCTCCTAAAAAAAGGAACTGCTTAAAGAACGAAAATGAATGTGATCCTACAAATTGAACTTTTTAATGGTTTCTTTTCTCATCGAAATTACACGCAGGATACGTTGCAAACGTCGGAAACTTCCAAAAGCTCCCATAATGTGGTTTGGTAAAGCAGTTTCGTTGCTAATATTGAAAGTTAGAATCTCCAAGCGAATCATTGCGGAATTAGACCATGATTTTTTATAATATCAAGTCAAACGAAAACGGCTATCAGTTATACTTTTCCCTCTCATACAATGCGAGAAAAATTAACTTGGAAGTTGAAGCATTAGTGTAATGGTCTTAAAGATATTGACGGTCCGACTTTAACTTTAGCCTTCATAATCGTCAAGTGCCCTCCAAAGATTGTGTCAGATTTGGGGCTCTCGAAAATCTTTTTTTCCCTCTAGGCGAGGTAACTTTTCGGGGGTTGTGAAGGAAAAATCGTTGCTCCTCTGACGTAAAGGCGTATCTCAATTTCCATGTGAGCCATATCTTACATATAAATTCATGTTTTCTGGGGCTCATGCGAAAATCCAGATACACTCTTACGTCTGAGGAGCGACGAAATGTTCCACGGCGTTGAATAATTCCCTGAAATGATACCTCGAGTGGGTTACCCTTACCCTCACAGCTTGAAACAAAGTTTGACGTGGATATTAAAGTCAGTTTAAAACTTAGTTCAAAGCAAGAAAGGGTAAACGAAAGAATAATCTGTATGGACCGACAGTGTTGCCGAAAGACTTATAGTTATCAACTTTTTTTCTTTCATCAGCGCGGGGACAAAGGGTTTACTGCGCTTGCCGTCTTTGTATTTACGGTAGTAAGTCAAAATTTAGAGCTATTACCTAGATTTAGAGTAATAGACAGTTTTTTCTGTGAACTTAGTGGAGTGCACCTTCACCTAGGTTAAATAAAATGGAGCCTAGATGTGGTTCTGTTTGAATTCTTTTAATTCCATTAACATTTTATGGCTGAATGTGAAAAAAAGAAAGAAAAGAGAAAAACAATACTTTTATTCCTTCTCAAGTTGCTAGACTTCCCCCCCCCCCCAATTGGTGATTTATCGGCATGGATATTTTACGGTAAAGCATTAGTTATATTATAACACAATGTAGGCATCCTGGCATTGCTTCTTCGGCTATTTTTACACCTTTTTGGTATAAGAACAAAATAATTTTCGTTTACTTACCTAAGAAGGTGTTACAAATATATTTCGATATTTGATTTCCAGACTTGCTAGATTCCGAGAAGTGGCTAAGTTCCTTATTGAGCATTCTTTTGAACTGAAACAGAGAAACGCAAGAAATGTAGTGACAAGGTAACGCACTTCATGGGATGCGAAGAAAATCTTATTTCAGCGGAGCATGGACATCAAAGCTTTGAAGCTTCGTGGAGGTACAGGGGTTGAGACTTACGAGGGAAAGTGGTTTAAGGGTTACTGGGTGGCGTTTCTTTGTAACATTAGGTAAATGTAAAAAATGAAACGAGAGTGAAGGATCATAAAGAGGAAAATCGTTTATCATGGGCGGTGTTACTTGAAAATTCTCAACAAATACTCCTGGACATGATATCATGGAAGTACTGAACAAAGCTATAAGCTTCCGCATATAGAACGTGTTCAGCATTATTTGTGGAGAAATTCTAAAAATATCTTTCCTCAACGAAAATAAAATGGTTTGGTTGGTATGATTTTATTAAGAGCTAGTTCATCCCTGCAAAAATGCAAAAAACTTAGGATGTAAAACGTGCAAAATTGAAAAATCACTTCAGAAACTTTACTATTCGTAAGAATTTTTTAAATGTTACTAATCTCGAGAACATGTTTCCGATTGGTTTAAAGTCGTTCATTTCTGAAAAATGAACATGCAGGGAAAGTCGCACTTGCTTAATTTTTGGTCCGTTGCAAAATTTTTGCTAAAACAAACGGAGCGTTTTGTTCAAAGTGGCTGTATAATCACAATATGCACGTCATGATAATCTGAAATTCAGACTTCTATATTTGCGCATTTTGAGGTTCCCGCCTCAATAAGTAAATTATACGGCAAATACATATTTTCTTTTAAACGAGTCATCTTAGTTCCATAAATCAATGCAAAACTAAAAATGGCTCGCATCATGTGTGTCGCAAAGTTTATTTCTTCTCATCATCTTTTTATTTTTTAATTAATAATAAATGACACATTATAATCGCCATTCATTATTGTCAACTTTATTCGTTGAAAATTGTTGGCTATTATCTTCAACGTTTTCGTCAATTAATTGTAGTATATTGATTGACTCTGAACTGGCCATTGGACGCATTTATACAAAAACTAACTATGCACAAAATGATTACATTAAAAGAAACCATGAAGCACGAACCCCATTTGCTTAGTCCATTTTGATAAAATGCATTTGTGCTTGGTCTTCATAGCATAAATAGATGTTTTCTAGAGGAGAGATAATAACTTCATTTTAAGGGTACAAAATCGACTCGAACGCTTCAATTTTTTTTACAAAATCATGACATCAATTTCCATCCAAAATTTTGCTGATTTCTTCGTATCACATTTAGAGAAAAAATCAGTTAAATCTTCGATCAGGAATGCTCAACAGTTCCCCAAAGGATATATAATTTACGAGTGGATATTTCAGGACGTTGAAATTGAGCAGTGGTGTGGCGTGAATGATTGATTATCGATACATTCCCATTTGAAGCTATGGTAAAGTGTCGATTATAAAGGTGTTCGTTCCGAACACCTTGTTTATCGATCCTTTTCCATGGGTTTAAATAGCAGATCAATCGATCCATCGCAAAGAATGCCACGCCACTGAAATTGAGTAACGTTCTTCGGTCTGTGAAACGGCGAAACATGTTCTTTTCGGACGCGCCCAGCATGGAAGCCAACTGAAAGTCAATGCTCATCCTAATCTGCATTAAATAGCGATGTCTTTTCGACGAATCGATGGATCTATGCCATTTAAACCAATGGAAAAGGATCGCTTATGAGGGTGTTTGCGACGAACACCATAATAATCGACTCCTTACTATAGCCTCATACATAAAAATATCGATAGCAGAAGATCCATGCGCCTTTGTTTACTTGACCAATGAGCGGTGACGTGACGTCGAACGAGCCCCAATTATGACTCGAGTGTGAATCACTGAAAAGTTGAGCGCTCCCGGACAGGAACAGTGGCGAGACGTGAATAATCGATTATCGATATTCTCCCATCTGAAGACATGGTAAAGAATCGATTATTAGGGCTTCGTTGCGCACACACTGTTTATCGATCCTTTTCCATGAGATTAAACGGCAGACAAATCGATATATTGCAAAGCACGCCACGCCACTCCTCAGGGATGCCCCAGCCCGTCACGCCTGGGCACCAATCCGCGGATGTGCAAAATACTTGCCAAATTTCATACTATTGTCCCGAATTTCATCACTCTTCTCAAACTCACTTTATATTAGTTATATCTCAAGTTCACTCGATCAGCATGTTTTTTTCAAATTTTCTATAGTAAATATTCTAAAGAAATTCATGAAGTGTTTCAAACAAATTTTTCAATTTCTTGTATGTTCTCCTTCAAAAAAATAAAACATGATACGCGATTTTCAAACCTTACTAGAGTTATACGTATCTTTAGCCAAAGGCATTCTTGATTTGACCATGTTTTGTTATGTAACCATAATTGAGGGGCTTGGAGGACAAGGCGCATAAGTGCAGGTTTTTTTTTAAAAAAATTAAGATATTCATGAACTCAACTAAAACTTGTTTGAAAGTATATTCCGTGAAAAACTCACAACTAAAATCCAACTTAAAAGCATCAAAAAGTAAGTCTCAACTTCCTTTCCACCATAAGGCTCCATGTAATTTTGAGACTTCAAACACGGATTTCTTGAAGTGGCAAAAACTGCACATATGCGCCTTGTCCTCCGTCCCTCGTTTCTGACAAATTTAATCAGCTTTCTGGTCGATTCAACCGTACTTGTAGGTATCAATCAAATCAAAAGTACATTCACAAATAGGATTTTCGATCTTCATGGCTCCTCTTCATTTTACCATTCGTGCACAATGGTTTTTCATAGCATAGATACACCCAATCTTGCCTTAATCGTATTTCTGTGATGGCATCAATACATCCTTACCATATTTTAAACCTATCAAAGTGAAAGAGTTGTCTTGAGCAACCAACCTGGTAGACGAAAAAAGAGAGCAGGATGAAAATATCAACAAGGACGCAGGCGAAGGCAAGGATGCCCCAGGAATCGTTGCTCATTCCGCTGAACATAGTCATGGGTCACCGCGCGGAACCGGAAACGGCACGCGAAACCGGAAACAGAGCGCGGAACCGGAAAAAACGGAACGCAGATCCGGAAAAAACGGAACGTGGACCCGGAAAAACGGTTGCAATATCGGTCGTTGTTTCACGTGGACAAAAAACGCGTTGAGAGTGTTCGATTTGTGAAAAGCTTACAAACTAAGTATGTGTGTTGTATAAAGTTATATAATTTACGAAAATAAGACTAAGATTTAAAAGCTTATTCAGTAAATAATACAGGAAACCTTACAAAGAAGGAATCTCAAGAAAAATCTTAGCTCAAAGCTTCAAATGGATTAAAGTCAAAGATTTTACACTTAAAATATTAGATATATATTTCTCTACTTCTTTTGATCTACACTTAGGCTTACTCAAATTATTTTTAGCGCAAGATATTATATACGTGTAAAATAAATATACATTTAAAGACGTAGCGTCTAATAATTTGAATGATTTTTATGATACAGTATGACCACCGTCAAACAATTCTAGGCGAGGTGAATAATAGCTGCGATGTGCGAGGTCAATAATAGGTTTCTAGACGAAGTGATTTTCAAGATGCAAAACACACTTTCGCTATTCAAGTGTTGAAGCTACTATTTGTTTATACCTAATGATGAGCTAAATATGTACCATATTGTACCCTAATTTATCATATTTATGTGATACTACACACTAAATTAAGCTAGAAATTTTAAACCTAAAATTTTGTCTTGAGCTGCAATTGGAGGGATCAAGTGAAATTCGAGTGTTTCTAATAAGATACGTTTCAGTTCAGGTCTGCACTGTATTCTTTGACATACAACTTGGTCGATATAGCTGACTATTCGATTTACTCGATGCTAAGTTACCCTTTATTATTTAAAGAACCCACCTCTGTCTCATACTCAGAAATACGTAATTGCTTTTCAGGCGCTCGGTAATCTGTGAGGGGCTTCAAAAGCTAAGGATACCAAAGAAATTGTAGTAATTTTATAACGGCGATAAATTTCTCGGAGCAGCCAAAGATTCAGCTCTGTTTAAGTTGTGAAATCACAAAGATCGGAACTCTCATCAACCCTCGTTGAGTTGCGTTGCTTAAGTCAACTCTGCAACTTTGGGGTAACCGAGAATCAAGAATCTGCAACACTCTCAATCAGACATCGACCAAGGATACCGACGGGCCAAAATCGATCAAAATTTTCCGTCCCGTTTCCTTCGTCGCATTGGACCAATGAAAAGAAAGGAGGAGACTGCAGACTCGACCAACCGACACGCGGAAGAAAACCAAAAGATTATAAATAAATAAATAAAATTTCGGAAAAAATAAAAATAAAAAAAAATAGAAAGAGAGGATTGATGATGGGTGGGTAGGAGTTCAATGGCAGCAAAAGTCGACCATGGCAATTTCCCAGAGTAGCACGAAGAGATAATTGGTAAATGTCATCTGAATGCGCGCCGACCTGAACTTGTTTCTGTGTTTGAAGAGCGCGATGATCTCTCTCCAATTGTAGCTCAAGGCTTGTCCGTTGCGGGTATCCAGTTTTCCTGGTTTCCTCCTCGACCCCTGAAAACGGGTTCCTGAAATTTGGCCGAAGGCCCTGAACTGTGGATATCAGACGATCAGGTGAGTTTTAAACGATTACTCATGCTTCCGAGAAAACGGAAAACAGAATACGATGATCTCTACATAAACTAAGACCTTTTTGACTTGAATCTATTTGCGAGGTTTAAAGTTTCGGAAACGGTACTTTTGGATACCTCACAAATTTGTATCACTTCAAATGATGAAAGGTAATGAAATATCCCACAAAAATTTACTATTCACTAATTTCTTCTCCTCAGATTCAACTTAAATGTGAGAATATCAGAATGATTCAAAGGTTACAATAAATATGACCGACTTCTGAACTTTTTTATTAACAAAAACTGAAATTAAGGATTAGTCTGTTCAAGGAAGTGGCAATTGTGTTTGATTGATCGATCGGTGGTGCGGAT